TATATAAAATAAAATAATTTTATTGCGTGCATATAACTACACCGAATATTTAAAACCACGCCAGTAAAGTCTGGAAGTTCAATTTAATTAGAAAATATTTATTTTGAGTTTTTGTTGTGAATCTTGCTTTCGCGCATGTTGAGAAAAACAAATCATAAACGTTATTTAATACACTAAATCTTTGTTTTCAGCATGCAATCAAAATTTAACAGCAAATCTAGTAAAAAAAAAAAATATATATACGGTTTATTTCATCCTAAAAATAATACACAGGTATTTATTAATTTAATAATAAATAAATATTAGGGTGAAAGCACCAGTAGCTGATATGCTAAAGGAAATTTATTTGATCTTTTACATGAAAAAAACTAAAATATTGTTGTCATTGTATTTTTCTTGGATTTATCTTATAGAACAACGTCTTCCTTACTAAGACACATTTCAAATCCATGAAACAACCACCTCTATTTTAATTAATTATGCGAAATTAATTTTTAATAATTATGTGCAATAAAGTCTTAAATTATTAAATTCTTCACTTGAAGATAGATATTACCAAAAATTACTTTTGACTTATTATAGAGTTTCGCAGTTTGCTAGTGTTCCTCAAGATCGTATCCTAAATTTCCAATTACTTACAAAAGACTCATTTAAATGGCTATATAATATATATATAGACTTATTTGGACTCACGGAATCGATCTTTAGGGCTTTACTAAATCATCGTACTAGGATCGAAATCGGTCGTACTAGAAAACGTACCGAAATAATAGGTGGCAAATTAGGAAAGTCCCCCTGAAGGTTCACATAGTGTCCTAGGAACAATCACTTATCAGTAAGGACACCATACCTTAGACCTTAGGTTTGCCTTTTTCTGTTTGATTAATTTGATTGGTCTCAACATTTTTGTTTTATCTTTTCATACAATGATTTTAGATTATGTTTTATCGGTTTTTATCTTATTTTGTGAAAGAAACTGGAAATTTAATGGGTGTCAGCTATTGGGCTGACTATTGCATAAATTCGGAGATATTATTAGTATAACAGGTCTTAAAAAATAGGCCCATCCACTACAATCTACTAAAACAAAATTTAATGATATGGATTAAATACAAAGCAAAATTGGTATTCCTATTGCCAAAAACAGCTTCCTGACAGAATCCAGCCCAGAATTTTAAATAAATTCAAGTCGGAAAACACAGGAAGTTAATTTTATAATAATTTTTTGTTAATATCTTTTTTAAAATTTCAACTCTTTATTTCACATAATTACATTCTTGTTCTCGTTCCTCCCAGGTATAGCAACATTCCAAATCAGTTATTGGTTTGGATTTTTTTTTTAATTTGTCAGCTACTGGTGGAAGAAAGTTATTCTCAAAATTTGTAATTTTTTCTTTCACTTAGCTATATACGAAATGTATAGTAAAGGAAAGTATTGCGATCATGAAAATTTTCGAATCTCAGTTTTCAACGGAAATACACGTTTTGAGGTCTCCTGAGTCCATATAACCAATAACTGTGTGTGTGTTATCAGTATAGCTCAAAAAAGAGAAGTCGTACAATAGTAAAATTGCATATTTAAGGTTTTTATATGCTAGGGATATCACAGCAACTTTTTCGTCAAAATCGGCTAATCGGAACTGGCACTAAATATCATGGACTAACCACTTTTTTAAGATTTTCTCGAAAACGGCTTTAATTATTTTGATTAAATTCCTTACATCAGTGTAAAATTAAGCAGTTTTAAATATAATGTAGTTTTTATTCTGATTAATGTTTTCAAACGGGGCTTAAATGGCTAATTTTCAATATTAGCTTCCTCTAAAGCAACTTCATTTTTTTTTTATTTAAAACAATTGACCATTTCACATTAATCTATAATATAAAAGGCAGTTAAATATAAAATATGAAAGAATTTGATGATTAAATAAAGGGAAAATAAGAGAGAGTAACGGAGAATAGTTGTAACTGGGAAACCAAAGGAATACGAGCGCACCCGAACTCGCCCGAACTCAGGCAATATTATATAAATATACATATGCGGTTTTCATACACTTTCCCTTTGTCTGAAAATATTTATTTCTGCTAAGAGGGTGGTTAAGTGAAAGTTGTGTGATGCACGCAATACACCAATTTTTTTGTATATAAGAAATGTTTCAATACAATAAATGTTTTAGATGGATGTTTCATGGATATTAAGTGTGTCTCGGCAAGGTGAGAAGTAATTCTATAAAATTAATCCATGAAAACAGAAATACAATCAATTTTTATATCTAAAAGTTCAAGGAAATTTTCTTAAGCATATTATGAGCTAAAGGTGTATTTAATCTAAAACAAACTTCATTTCGTTTCCCGACTTAAATTAATCGATAAATGGTAGTTCAGTCAAGAAGCTGTTTGGTTTTTGCAATAGCTTGTTTTTTTTTCACCCTCCAGTGATTGTATGGTTCAATTACAGTGTATGTGTATATATATATATATATATATATATATATATATATATATATATATATATATATATATATATATATATATATATATATTTATATATATATATATACACTGTAATTGAACAATACAATCACTGGAGGGTGAAAAAAAAACAAGCTATTGCAAAAACCAAACAGCTTCTTGACTGAACTACCATTTATCGATTAATTTAAGTCGGGAAACGAAGTTTCCAGTTATATATATATATATATATATATATATATATGTATATATATATATATATATATATATATATATATGTATATATATATATATATATATATATATATATATATATATTTTTTAAATTTTATTTATTCTTAGCTATATTATTTAATAAGAAAATCTAGTTTTGCTCTATATTTCATCCAAATCAATAGCAAAGTTTTTTTTTTCCCCCAAGAGAGTAGTAAATGGTCCAATTTTTAAGACCAGTTATATTAAGTATATCCCTTTGAATTTATGAGGATACAGGCCTGTCCGCTCCTGCATACAAGGTTCCAGTTTCTGACACCCAGTAAATTTTCAATTCCTTCATCAAAATAAGTTAAAAACACATAAAATCACGCCATTAAAAAATAAAACAAATAAAATTGGGATAAATCAAAGTTGTTAAAGAGATAAACCTAAGATATGGTCTCCAGGTTGATAGATGGTTGTTCCTGGGGCACTAAATGAACCGTGAGGGACCTTCCTAATTTGTCACTCATTATTTCTGGCACGGTTTGCGGTAAGACTAAAGCAAAACAGGCAAACATACAAGGAGAAAATATAAAAAACAAAAATCTATGAATTAGAGGTTTAGGAGGTTCTAAAATCTTATTATTTCCATTTTTATAGGAAGTCAGCTATTGATGCTTTTACCCTGGTGCTTAATTTTTTTCTTTTTTTGTGAATGTGTCGATAAATGTTTTAATAATATTTACTATAAAGTTACAGATATGTTTTAATGGACTTGAAAATAGGCGATTATGGTTAGAAAGGTCGTTAAATATTAATATGAATTGATATAATTATAATACATTTAAATTATATTAGATTAACAATTAATATACCCTTTTGAAATATAATATAAGGAAATTTATGGGAATCAATATTTATTTTAGTTTTTCAATATGTATTCGGTATTATAGCCAGATTGAATCCTTATTTTTCAGTATACCATTACAGTAGCGGATTTAATTTTTTTTTTTATTGGAGGAGGGGTGAGAAGCTTCAGTCCGGAAGCTTTTAATATATAACGATAATTATTCAGTGAGTTAAGAGAGAAATGTTTTTTGGGCATCGGACCTGTTCTCCAGAAGAATTATTTAGTTTCTTAAATGGTCCTAACTGGAAAGCCTTAAGCAATTATGTTCAGCAGCCCACATTGCAAAGATCTCAATTAGTCAGATAGTAAACTATTGAAAGAATATCGTGTCTATTTATTGTAACGTTTGTTTTATTGTTATATTGTATTTGATGGTTATTATTATTGTTGTTGAATTCAACTTTCTTATTTATTGGATTTGCATTAATGTATTAATGTTGTAGTGTAGTATTGATTTATTAATGTTTATTTTTTGAAAACTCTGTTTAAACAAATGAAACAGTGAAGAAGAAAATTGTTAGAATGGATTTATAAAAATATAATAATACTGTAGATATATTAAAGCTCATTTATTTTAGTTATAAATGTAATGAATGTTTATTATTAATTACACACAGACCTCGACAGACGGAATTTTCCACTGTCTATGTGTTGTTGCTTGTATATATATATATATTTTACTTTGTATATATTTTTTAAAATTATAATAAACACGTTTTCATTCATTCATTCATATAACGACAATTACATGAAAAGAAAACTAACTACCTATATGTGTTTATGCAATTCTTCAAAAGTATTATTCAAAATATAATTATACGAACAATAATACTTTTAGAGATCATTTTTTAATATTTATTTCATAAGGCACGGTCCATATTTAGTATATGGATTATAATTTAAAAAATAGAACTGTTATTTGCTTAAGTGTTAAGTTAGACTAATCACAGTAAAAAATATGGACAAATTGAAAAAAAAATTAATTTTGGAGGGGCTTCAACCCGAACGTCCCCTTGTAGATCCATCAGTACACCATTAATATTCTTGAGGAATTTAGTCTCAGAATAAAGTTTACTTTTCTATTCTATTTTATATTTAATTGATAGGAAGTTCTCAGGAAATTCAATAGATATTTAAAAAAAAATCCTAGAAATTTAATTTTAAAAAGTATCTGGGCCCTCCCGGTGTGATCCGACTTCTTCCCCGTTTCCTCCACACTATCACCCGTACCGCTGTCTTCCCCCTCGAACTACCGGAGGACGGAGGATGGACCCCGGGGCAGGTGCCGAAAAGACTAGGGATAACCCTGACCCAAAAGAGAGTGAACGAAATGCTGGCAGAGCACGTCCTTGCGGGAGGGGCCGGAATAAACTTGACCTGGAGAAAGCTTCTCCCCTCCCCATTGGCCGCCAGTCCGGCTGCCGAGGCCCCAGCGAACAGTCAGTGCTCAGCCGCTCTCTATCGCTGTGTTCGTGTTCGTTCGTATAGAATAGTGTGACAGTTTGACAGTTCTTCAACTTACAGTGCCTATCTCCTCCTCTCTTCTATTGGACTTTATTTCTTATTAAGGACGGACCAAAAAGTGGTAAGTTTTTTTAAAATAAATTTTTTATTAATTTTTGAAAAAAAAATATACTTCGGCAGATAGTGACTTAGGGTCGAAAACAACTGTCAATAGGGGTCTGTGACATTTTTATCAAAGCTTTATGTACAACATAAATAAATAAATTAAAAAACAAAAAAGAAAGTGAAAAGTGTTTATATGTAAACAAGATCACAAGGGAAAACAGTGAAGTGAATTTTTTAATAACAAGTGTAACTGCTAATTTTCAAAAATAAATAAATAATCTTAACCATTAATAAAAATAAAATTAATAAAAAATATATCACCATTTGAAATATTTTGTTTTTTTTTATCAACTTCAAATCTAGCATAACATGAAAAATAAATAACTTCAAATGGCCAATGAAAACTTCCTGTAAAATAATCCAAAAAGAATAATAATTTTCAGTTTCATTAATTTATTTTCTTTTATCTACCTTAAATCCAACTTAACCACTCGTAATAAATAAAAATAATAAATATTCTAAATAATAATAATAAATTTTCTACTACTATTTGATCAAAACTTGGATACATTTCACTGGATATAGATATATACTTTCTCTCATCTTAACTTCAAGTCTAACATACTATAACAAATGAATAACTTCAAATGACCAACTAGTTATAATGTATACTACTTATAATCCAAAATAAAAAATTATAATTCCTAGTTTCATTCATTTATTTTATTTTACCTGATTTAAATCTAAGTATTGCCATTAAGTACAATTTATAAACAGACAGTGATAGTTTTTTTTAACAACCTTAACCACTCGTAATAAAATTTAAAAAAATACTATGACAATTTTCTTTATTTATTAACATTAACTCTAATGTAGATAAAAAATAAATAAACTTTTAATAACGATTAATCATCATCAATCATTCATTTATTTTATATTTCTTAATTTTAATTTCAATTCAAGTATTACAATTAAGTACAATTTGTAAACAGACCATAATATTTTTCAGATGTTTGAGGTAGATGCATATTGATATTGAAATAATAATTGAAAATAAGAAAAAAAATTGAAATCAAAATCAAACAATTATCCCTAAATTATATTAATAAATAACAAAATTTCATATTTATTTTGTTTCCAAAAATAAAGTGATGCAGTTTATTGCAATATTGTATAGCGTAGAATTTCATTAGCTTGCTTGAAACAGATGCATTGTATAGTAGTAATGCAATAGTTCAACAACGCATAAAAAATAAATAGATGTTGCCAATAATAAACACTTCTCAAAGCAATCACACTTTTAATAATGATTATTATTTAAAAAAATATAAAAATCAACTGTAATATAGTCTTATTAACTAAAAAAATAATATTTAAATTACATAGGAAGTTAAGTCTTCAAAAGTTTCTTTTTGTTTGATTTGTGTTTTATTTAGTGAATTTGGCATTACAAAAACATTACTACTACATTTAATTGAATAGCCCATATAATTCAGATTCGTATGTAAGTAAAAAAAAATATTGAAAAAAAAGAGTATAGACCTATTTTTTTTTTTTAAATTCAGCTTAAAATTTACTTAAAAATCACAAGTAAACTTAAAATATAAAAGCTCAAACAAAATTAAAATCTTTCGAAAAGAATCTATATCAAAAGTATCGAATTATAATATCCTTGTAAACGTCGGTAATATTTTTTTATTCCTCATACGTAAGTTTTTAACAGGACTCGAAAGACATTTATTTGTATTCACCATAATGACTATCATTATTTCTTTAAACAAGTGTATTAATATTAATATTGTTGATTAACATTTAATATTATGTAGGAAATATATAATAATAAAAGAGAGAATATTGTCAAAAATAAAATTTTGGCGCAACCTCTCGAAAATACCACCGTTAGACTCAAAAGGTTTTTGAACTGAGGTTGTTTCTCTTACTTGACGTCATTTTTCACCGCCATTCAACTCGCTCGTGTTATATATAACAATAATAGATAAATAAATAATAAATATATATAATACAATTAAATGGTTTAAGTAAACGTTTAAAAGCAATATTACGGTTGATTGTCTTTAAAAACTTCTTTAAACACAACTTAGTAGAATTTTAAAACCTGAAACATTTTTTATTTCATAATTTTTTTTTTATCTACCTGTAATTCACAAAGTGGGAAGAAATTGATCCTTCATTTAATTACATAATCTTTTACGGTGCCAATTTTATCTTAAGATTAATAAAAGTTTCAAAAGATTAAATTCTTTAAGTGTTACGTATTATAAGAATTATTAAACGAATTCAAATTTTAATTCTAATCGAATTTATATTGATAGTTTATAATAGGAGAGGGCTTTTAAAGCAACTCGAATTATTTATTTATTATTTTTTAGTCATTAAAATACGTGAATATAATAAATGAACATATATAAATATCATCAAAATTACGTTTAAAAAATTAATGTGTTGGCAACACTGCGTATTTTAATCTGTTGCACAATTCACGTAAAATGCAGTGACAAACAAAAAAAAAAAAAGATTGCAAAATGTAATGTGTGCTCTGAAAACAAAGATATCTCTAATTCAGATCAGAAGAAAGTTCTTGAAAAGAAACAAAAAAGAAACAATTCTTCGGGGTCAGTATGCTAAACTATTCCTGAAATGAGGGAATAATAGATTCATATATTAATACGAACAATGAAAACACACGACCTCAGGTAGCTTACTTCATTTGAATACTGAAATCGAGAAGGACAAGGGAGGTCTGATGGAAACAAAGTGAATAATTTAACATTTGCCTTTCTTCTAAATATAGCATATTTTTAAGGAATATTCCTTTGTATGATAAGGACGAAAGAATTGGCAATGTGATCAGAATTTAAGAAAAGTGAGCTCATAATCTTCTATAAGACAATGTGTATCCTTAAAATGAAAGAATTATATACGAGCACATGCGCGAAATAAACTACGAAATAAACCAGACCAGAGCAATTGAAATAATTTATTATAAAAATAATCTATCATACTTGAAAATGTCCCAAATGGCGGCCGAAACGTTCGTATTTAAAAATAACGAAGGAAATAAAAGTTATGGTGATCAAATTGTCTAATATGTATGAACAGAAGAAATTAGTTATATGGATAGTAGTGAAATAATTTTATATAAAAATAATCTAAAACATTTATGAAGACATATTTATCTTGTTCTGATAACAGAGCAAACTATATATATATATATATATATATATATATATATATATATATATATATATATATATATATATATATATATATATATAAAGTACAATTAAAAATACAAGTTGTCACTATTGCTATAAAGAATATAGGATGGACCAAGATACATTTTTCAAAACATGAGTAGAAGAAATTAATTCATATATTATTATTTGTTTTGTGGAAAAGACCAGAAAAGAATATGGAAAACGAATTTCCTAAAAATGGTTTTAATATAAAAATCAAAAGAAATTTAAAACTACAGCTTTAAATATAAAATGAGATAGTTTTATTTTTGCTGCTGATTTTGTAAGCTAAAATTCACTCAAACGAATTTCACTCAAACAAAAAAATTATAATAATTTTAATGTACTTAAATTTCCTTTTGAAGCAATAGTGAGTTGAAATAATTGCATATGCAGAATGAAATATGGTAGAGAGAATGGAACGAAATCGAAGAATGGAAATCGCAAAACATTGAGATTAAGGTACCATCTGCGTAGGAACAAAAAGGAGCGTGATGAATCGATAAATCGAACGAAAATCGATAATTACATCGGACCTATCGACTGAAGAAGGAGGGGAAGTGTCGCTGGGTCTCCTTGTGTACCAGCGGGAGGTTTGCCTTGCTTCGGCCATGGTGGAAGGCCTTGCCAGCTATTGCACCACCCGGAACACATTCAGTCAAGGGTGCCATCCTCCTACCCTTCCACTACTGGAGGATCGTAGCATCATCGACAGGTACAAGTACAGTACAAGAAAATATCAAAAAGAAAAAAAAAATCAAGTATAAATCCACTTACTAATATTCCAAAGGTATTGCAGGCTTCAAAAAAAGAGAAGCAAGGTTTCAACTGCCGTCTTACAGTAGAATCAATAAAATATTTGTAGAAAAAGGAAAACAGAGAAGGAAATAAGTTAACAGTCGATGACGAAAATTTGATAACCCAAAAATACTCCAAAGGTCATGAGGAAAATAATAAAAGAAGAATGGATAGTAGTTCTCAATGGATAATATGTCTATATATTTCATTCATATCAATATGTATAAACAAGGGTGAACAGCAGAGTTTGCTTGATTTTTTTTTTTAAGTAGTAACATATTTACAGGGTTGGGAATTTCAGGAGATAATATTATTGTGGAATTTCAATCGACGAGAACTATCAAATTTAGGAACAAGAGAAAAGCTAAACTACAATTACTATAATTTTACTTCCATTTGAACCGTTTTTAAGAAGAGGAGATCAATACATTTTCTAGATAAGAATGCATGCACCATCGTCATTGAAGGGCACCCTTCAGTAGAATCAAGAACAATAGAAGAAAAAAAAAGAACAGGGAAAATGGAAATGGTAGCGCAAAATCCTTTAAAACCATTAAATTACCATAAATAAGAAATTTACTTGCTTTTAAAATAAAATATATGAAGCTTAACAGCAAAAAAATAAGGAATATCATAATATAGATATAAATATGGATTACATTTGCTAGAGAAGACTTAAATGAACTAGCTGGGTAAAGAGATCTTTATGAAAATCCAACTGTTTTTACACTAAAGGGAAACACATGAGGAAAATAAGTAGAATATTTTGCCATAAGACGCCTATAATCACGGTATTCAAAAATGATCTGTATTTTTTTTTTTTTTTTGCTACTTATCCGCATTAAGTAGGTTATTGAAATAAGAATGGAATGTAAATCAGAAAAATAACAAAGGCAAAAGCAAAAAAAAGAGAAGATAAATCAAAATAAAATCAAATATAATGATTCTGAAGAAAACCTTT